CCGCTCAGCACCGCCCCGAACCGGGCAGGGCCGCCCCGATCCGCTCAGCACCGCCCCGAACCGGGCAGCACCGCCCCGATCCGCTCAGCACCGCCTCGAACCGGGCAGCACCGCCCCGATCCGCTCAGCACCGCCCCGAACCGGGCAGCACCGCCCCGAACCGGGCAGCAGCGCCCGAACCGGGCCGGCTCGGGACGGGAGGCCCCGCTCCCGGCCGCGTTCCCTGCCGGAGCCGCGCGCTGCCGTGGGGGCGGCCGGGGCAGCGCGGGGCCCTGGGTTAGTGCCGGCTTTAACCCCGGCCTCTCCTGAGTACGGGGCGTTACCATAACTGTCTCTCATCAAGTTTGAAATGGTGGGGTTAATAACACCTCAGTTTCATTGTGTGAGTAGTGAAATCACGGCCAAGGGAAACCAGTAGAAGGTTCGTGTCACTTCAGTGTGGCGACTCTCCCTGTCCATTGCCGTGTGCCCTGTGTCCGTCACACAGTAACTCAGGTTACCTGTAGTGACAATAACACAGGTTACCTGTAGTGACAGTAACACAGGTTACCTGTGGTTACCTGTAGGTAACCTTGCCTGACACGAGACGAGCAAGAGCTGATGGAACCAGGTGCCTTTCAGCCCCTGCTGTGAAGCACTAACACATCTTTAGAAGTGCCCTCCACTTCTGTTTTTCCCTTAGCACGTAATACTGCACATGACTTCTTGCACCCGCCTGGGACTTGCTGTTGTTTCAGAGCCAAGAGTTGTCTGAGTTGATTTCAAAGGTTATTGATCTCTGTTTATGTTTAATGAAGTCCGCTTGCTTTGTTTTGTCTTTAAGCTTCAGCTTAATTTGACTTAAGCTGGGTGAAAACTGTTTTTAAATGGATTTGTAGAAGTTAGTGGACTTAAAAATCTTGACCATGCTTAAGAAATGATGAATATAAAYGTACTGAAGCGATAAAGAATTATGAACTGATAGATCAGCAGTGATACTTTTTTTCCTTTAATATGTCAAATTTTAGGCTAGTTTGTGAGTTCTTTAGACACTCTTTTATTCTATCTTCAACAAAATGAAGAAAATGACATCGACGTTCTTGAGATATTTTGCTTGTGCGCGTCTGTCAGCCCCGCAATGCTGCTCCTGCTTTTTCGCTGTGCTGCTGGAGCAGCCCCGGCTGGGCAACACGCCGCGTGGCCAGGCAAGGCAGGGAAAGGGGCAGGGGCAGCGGGGACAGGAACAATAACGAGGCTGTTTGCAATTCCCGTCAGGTCCACAGTAGGTCCCTCCRAAGAGACTCGCTCCTTTTTCAAGCAAATGACTTGGAAACGTGGCTGTGTTCCTTTGCTTAGGCTGGTGGCCTTGCTACTGAGGACGGAAGAAATGGAACCTGAGCTGTTTTTCTGAAGGAACAGAAAGTCTTAATATTAATATGTACAAATACCTGAGGGGAGAATGTAGGGAGTAGAGGGCCAAACGTAGGGAGGTGGTGGCCAGTGACAGGAGAAGGGGTAATGGGTGTAAATTGAAACACGGGAAGTTTCATCTCTATGTGCGGTAGAACTTCTTTCTTGTGCAGGTGMCAGAGCCCTGGCACAGGCTGCCCAGGGAGGCTGTGGAGTCTCCTTCTCTGGAGACCTTCCCAACCCGCCTGGATGCCGCCCTGTGCCCCGTGCTCTGGGTGTCCCTGCTGGAGCAGGGGGTTGGACTGGATGATATCCAGAGGTCCCTTCCAACCTCAGCCATTCCGTGACGCTGTGTGATGTGTGAATACCTATAAAAAGCCCTGCCAGGCCCGGGGGGGCGAGGGGGTGCCGGAGGCGCAGCGCCGCTGGGCGCGAGGCCCCGCGCTGCACCGCGCCGCGCCGCGCCGCTGTGAATACCTATAAAAAGCCCTGCCAGGCCCGGGGGGGCGAGGGGGTGCCGGAGGCGCAGCGCCGCTGGGCGCGAGGCCCCGCGCTGCACCGCGCCGCGCTGCGCAGAGCGGCCGCCCAGGGCAGGCTGCCCCGCCGCGCGCAGCCGAGGTCGGCCCCGCCGCGCTCAGACCCGCAGCGCTCAGCTCCGCCGCGCCACACGCGACCCGCAGGCCGGCCGGGCCCGCGCCCTGCGCCACCACCATGGCTCTCCAGGTAGGGGCTTCTGCATGCGGGAGACGTGGGCAGAGGCTGGATGCAGCGGGAAGGGAGGCAGGGATGTGCTGCAGGCTCTGCGGCGGGGTGCCGGGTTGTTAATGCAAAATCCAGGTTGTTCTGCAGCGTGGGAGATTGGCAGGAGCCTTGGGAGGCTGAAAAGTGCAGTGGGTTTTGCAACTGGAGAGATGTTCACCTCACATTTTGAATATGATGCATGGGTCGTGCAGTTTTGCTGAGAGGGGAGGCTTACCTGCTGGGAGTGTGCAACAACAGTTCTATGTGGGGACCTGAGCTTGCTGGGACTGCATTGTGCACTGAGGCAGTTACTTGTTTGAGGTTTCTTGATTATTTTTTAACAGATTGTTATTTAGAGCTGAAAACACAACAGGAAACCTCTAACTCAAAATCAATGGTTTAAGTGCTTTCRGGAAGCAGTAACTTTTAAGGGAGTGGTGGATTTTTTTTTTTTAGGTTATGTGCGTTTTTGGAGAGGWTGCATTTCGAAGAGTGTATGTGTTTAATAGGACAACGAGACACCAGGAGAGAGCTCCCTTCACCCTAAGGAGATTTGAGCAGTTAATCTTCTCTGCTGGCTGTTAGCCTCCCACCTTTGTGGTGGAGTGTCAATATTCCCTTGTGTTGCCCATGCCCGGCTGAATTCCAAGTTCTCTGCCGTCCCTCTCAGCTCAGGCGCTGCCAGCCCCTTTATCCCAGCCTTATTACGATGAGTGTCCCGGCCCGCTGGCAGCGAGGGCTGACCTAGATGCCGGAGCAGAGGGCAGGAGCTCAGCRGCCTCCTCTGCGCGGCGATGGCAGCGTGGGGCGTCCTTGGTGCCCCAAGGACATCCTTGAGGTACCCTTGAGGTACCGCTCAGAACTGCTGGGTCCCAAAGGCAGCACCACTCTTGTTTAATCAGCAGTCACCGAAATGACATTTTGGTTTATCTTTTACTCACCACAGAAAACAAGCTTCTGATGATACTTTAAAAATGACCAATAAATCACTATGAGAAAGAGCTGAGTGCAGTACAATATGCTGTTACTATCTACAGTTCTACCACCCTAAGAAAATCCATGGTTGAAATACGGAGCGCTGTATATTCTGCAATTCAGTATAGCAGAGGTTTCCTATCCATTATCATTTTGGTTGACAGCTACCACCCATACCCATAAAACATCTTTGAATCAAGCTCTAGGGGAATGTAGGACAAATGGATAAAACACTGTTTTCACCAGGGCAGTAGCTCTAGGATTAGTTTTGCAAATTGCTGAAACACTCTGCTGGAAATGAGGAATTCACTCAAGCTTTTGTGTATTTTTTTTTCCACAACGTAGGTATTACATGATACTAGACATTGTGTGTTTATCTTTAATGTGTGTGTATTTTATTATGCATTCATGTGTCTATAAATATACAGAAAATACTTCCACTTTTAATCCAGAGAGCTAAAGGGAATTTTACCAGCACATGATCAAAAGGAAATTACGTTTTTTTAAATGCTCCTAAGCATGTTGTATAAGCAGGCAAAGCCTAAACTACATCCTCTTTCGGGTAAGGAAGCTTAAAGAAAGAAATCTTTAGTATTTAAATTTCATTTCTGCCTCTCTCTTGGGCAGAAGATGTGTACCAATGTATTTTTTAAAAGTATCTTGTGATCCTTGCATATGGATTCAAATAAAAGTATGCTAAGCATAAGAAAAGAAGTTAATGGCCTCCTTTCTCAACATATTTTTAAGGGGTCTTTTGTCTGTGCAAGTCTCTAGCAACAGTTCTGGTTCCTTCTTATTGTTAAGGTTCAATCAATAAGCAATTCGGGGCAATGGGAAGATTTCCAGTTACTTGAATAGTCTTTGAATCTCTGTTTGGACAGAGACTCAAATAGTGTATTAGTCACAGTGCAAAAGTGAAGCCAGAAGCTTATTTTGTCTACAATCAATTGGGCAATTCAGCTCTGCTTTATTATTGATGTAGCAGCATTTAAATCTTTCTTAGTGTTATCTGAGTGTGAATGCAGTTTTACTGGTATGTGCATGGATAATATTGGAGATTATGATTATGGAGAGTCTGTGATGCAGGAGATAAAAAGACATCACAACAGTTTTCCTATGGTACCTTGTATACATAAACAAATACGTTACATCTGCTGATGTTTGAATTAAGAATGAAATGTTCATTTTAATAGAGTTTTATCTATACAAGAAATCTCCAGGGTGGTGAGGTTCATTCCTGTTCTTGAACAGAACACTGAGTGTGTTGATGCACAAACTACTACCCCAGTAATCTCTGTTTAAAACAAAGCCAGTAAGGCCTCTCAGGTGTTAATTAAACTCTGACAAATTGGGAGGCCCTTTAGAAAATATTTAACCAGCTACTGTTTCTCCTGAGGTCTGACAGAGCTCCTACAGCTCTCCAAACTTTCAGAAAGACAAATAATCATGTTCCATATTTCTGATAATAAACTCTGAAGGAGAAAGTATTTACAATTCCTTTGTACGGAATGAAGAGTCAGAAGAATAKAGAAAGAGCCTTTGTGGTCTGCAGAAACCATTTTTATTTCTGAGCCAAGCCAATTAAATCCAGTCACTTCAATTAAAATAGTTTTCATAATCAGTTTAATCCCTGCTACAATGCTGATTCTTTCCACTGAACAATAGAGAAGATGGAATCCAAAAGTGCTCACAGAAGAGATGCTGTAAGGTCATTGTAACATTATTGATTCAGCTTTTATGTATAGCCTGGAGCAAAATATAGTTGCATGAGAAGATGTAATTTGGGGTTCTCTCAATTAGGTGCAACATATTTTGCGTGTTTTGTTTTTTAATTCCAGGAAAATCCTTTATTTGTTGTTCAGTGCTCCCTCTTATTTTGCTTGCCTTAGAAAAGTTGCAGAGTTTAGTTGGTAGCAAAAGAAGTCTGAGACAAAAAGCTGGACTTTTCATCCAAACCTTCATTTGTTGCATTTTGTTAATGCTTAGAATCCTTGTTACTAAACAGGAGCAAAATCATATGCCTAAGTGTATGTTTTCAGACTCTGAAGTTTTAGCTTTAAGAATATTGTCTGTCCTACATTTGATTTAGAATTTAACGGCATAATTCTGCCACTTCATATACTTCATGCAATGGCTAGATTTATGTTTTGCAGGTAGACAAGCGGTATGTGCAGTCTTGCTGATTCTCAGTGTTGTTCTGAGTAAAGAAGGGAGTCCATCATTATATTTAAAATATCTACACTCAACAGCAGCAGTTTTCAAACTTGAAATGAATATTCTGTGTTTAAAATCCTAGCCACTTTTTCTRTTCCAGCACCTGCTGCTGGGCATTTGGTTGTGTGAGGCCTTGGTGGGAATCTCTTGGAAACTTCTGCTTGCTGATCATGCAAACAGGAAGGTTCTTCCTGAGTTGGGGCATTACCGAAGTCTGCAGGGTTCTTGGCTCAAGGGCTTTCTCCTCAGTGTATTTGTAAGGACTCCATAAATGTTGTAGTGGGAATAATGATCCCCCAGATCCAAAGCTCAGCAGCAGCACCAGCCCTAAGTGCAAGGAGAAGTTTAGCCAAGGGCCTCCTCTCTCCTTGGCAACTCTGCTGCCCCACAGGCTGCTCTTTGCTGTAAAACTGGGGCAGCCTGTCGGATTTGGCACCTCATCTCTAAGGTCCCTCTGTCCAGAACTGACACAAATGTGGCAGTCACTCCAGGCAACTGTAAAGTCCTGATCTTCGAAACAGTGACAGAGCCGCTGCAACAGTCCCTAGGTGAGAAACAGCAGCTGCGTTGTGGCAAGGCCTTCCGAATTTAACTCKCCTTCCCCCTCTGGGCTCAGAACTTGGTTTCTGGGCACTTACCCACCAGCCAAACTAAATTGCCAGGCAGAAGGACACACACAGTTGCACTTGAGGAGGCAGTGGGGAGGGAAGGTGGGAGAGCAGCCAGGGTTCAGTGCCCGGGCCTGCCGCGCGCCCGCCRGCCTCGCTGGGCCTCCTGCACGACGGGGCCTTTCTTTGAAGAAAGATGCCTGGACATCTGTCTTTTTAGTTAAATTCTTTACAATTTTCCTTCTTCTCGGTAGTGGCCACTAACAGGACAAGGGGCAATGGGTGTAAGTTGAAGCACAGGCAGTTCCATCTCCATGTGAGGAGGAACTTCTTCACTGTGAGGGTGCCAGAGCCCTGGCACAGGCTGCCCAGGGAGGCTGTGGAGTCTCCTTCTCTGGAGATCTTCCAAACCCACCTGGATGCCGCCCTGTGCCCCGTGCTCTGGGTGTCCCTGCTGGAGCAGGGGGTTGGACTGGATGATCTCTAGAGGCCCCTTCCTGTGACCTGTCTGTGACACGCTGCGCTTTTGCAAATGCAGATCTAACTGAAATGCTAAAAAAAACACTGTAACCAGAAAAGCATATTTAAGTACCTGCACCTTTTTGCATCATAGCATTACAGAAAACTGTTGTCTTTGTGGTTACTGTTCATTATCACAGAGGTAACTCTGGAGCCTGGGCAGAACACTACAAGCTAAGGGCTCCTGAGACCTAGTAGATAGAGAATATCACCTAGCCCTGGGCTGGGGCAAGTRTGAGATGCATTAAAAGGAACAGATTATTTGTGTCCTAAATGAATACCTCTATACCTAAATATACCTAAATACCTAAATGAAAACCTACAGTTTTGTTAAACTTATTTCACAGAAAAATAACCCAAAATAACCTAAGTTATCACTTGCCCAAGTGGTTATTTGAGGACTGTGCCACTTGGATAGGAATTTAAGACCTTTTTTTTTTCTGTTTTGTTTTCTTTTACCAGGCTGACTTCGATGCTGCTGCAGAAGATGTAAGAAAATTAAAAACAAGGCCGACTGCTGATGAACTGAAGGAACTATATGGTTTCTACAAACAGGCTACTGTTGGAGACATTAATATTGGTACTTCTCTTCCTATAAATACATCGTTTACCCCCGTATTTTAATGAAATCTAGAAGATATTATCTAGTGAATCTTTATGATAATAAATAAAAGTATTCATTTATTTTGGCAGAATGTCCAGGAGCGCTAGATTTGAAAGGCAAAGCCAAGTGGGAAGCATGGAACCTGAAAAAAGGTGCTACAGTAATTAACTTTACATCATATAAACACTGCTACAGATCAACAAATAAGGAAAGATAATGACTCATACTTTCCTTTGCAGGTTTATCAAAGGAGGATGCCATGAATGCCTATATTTCTCAAGCAAAAGCAATGGTAGAGAAATATGGGATCTAAAATACTCAAAATAATTCCCTCTAATAACTAACTTTTCAGTATCTAATGAACTAACTTTTCTAGGAATGTGCAATACTAACTCTTTATTGTCTAACCTGACACTAAAAATATTTTAAGCAGGAGTTGTTTGGCCCTAAAGGGCATTTACATACATGCTGTATTTTAGACTATAACTGTACTTATTCGAAATAAATTTGTACCTATTCATTTAATCTTTCTGTAAGAATTGTGGATTTCTGAAGGTATTAAGTTATATCTAGCATTTTCCTATTAGCACACAAAGAAGCTCGAAAAGTAAAATAATATAGTTGTCATTTTTCCCACAAATATGGTTATGGAATAAAGTGCTTGCACTTGTGCAAGATRAGAAGAGGGAAAATGGAGTTTTTTAAGAGACAAGATCCAAACTAAATGTTTATTTTTATGAATGAGAAAAGTCTCCCCTTTTCATGAAATACAATAAAGATATTTTGTAGAACACAACAACTTTGAGGAAACTGCATGCAATTGTATAGAAATAGTAATTATTAAGTGCTGAATTAAGTGCTAATATTATACCATCTGTCATAAAAATAGAGAGAAATGCTCAYAGATCAGCATTTTCTATACATCTTGTTATGTGTTTCATCAAAAATATTTCATTAGCAGGTTCCAGCAGATAAAAGTGACCTCCAGGAAGCTTGTAAATGGAAATATCTCCAGTTGTTATATCATCCCAGGCTGAAAAAGATATTTAAAGTGTTAGAGAAATGTTAAATATTGTAGTTGTTTTACATAGCCATTTCCAGATTATTATTTAATAATAATTTTGAATCCTGTATGAACTGATTTGGCTGCGACTGTTTATACTGAGACTGCTCTATGAATTTCCATTTCATTTTAAACAGAGAAAAAAGATTCTAGGGGACTCTGTTCCTTAACTGATTCGATACAAGAGAAAAAAACACTCAAGTGTAAGAAGAAAACACTTGAGCAAAGTACCTTCTAAATCATGTTCCATATCTTCAGACCCATCAAAGCAGGTAATGTCACAGGAGAGGGGAATATTCCTGTCTGCCTTCTCAAAACTGTGAATACAAAAAGTTGTAGTAATAAACATTTCCATAATATACCTAATATTTAGGTTTTGTCTCCACATATGAAATGGCCTTTTTTTTCTCCTCTCCTCCAATGCATAACTCCTGAATTACTTCCAGAAGAGGGATGGATGCCTGGTTCACGCAGTGGGGTTAGCGCAGTTAGGGGCAGTGGATGGGGAAGCTGCATGCAGCGATCATGAAGCACATTTAGTGGAACCTACTGGCCTCAGAAAACAACAGAAGATGTTCAAATCTTCCTTCCAGGAGCTGTAMACTTTGGATCCTATGCAGATCTCTAGTTCTACCAGGACATATTCACTACTACAATAGCAGCAGTGGCTGTTAGGATGAGCTGTGTGGCGTAAACTTGGCATAAATACCAAGAAATACATGGAAAAGCATGATTAGACAGAAGTGAAACGATAATATATACATGTAAAATACAGATATAAATATAATATAATGTTGTTTTAAACTTACGAAAATGTTTGAAGGACTCTAAAATCTTCCCTCAAGGTAAGAATGAGATGTTTCCTGATGTCTTCATTTTGCAGCAGCTCAGAAGGAGTTCCTCCTAAAAGTTTTAGCTGTGCAACAATGTCTTCATCCTCCATATCATGTATTCTTTTGATGAGAAGAAAGCTTTCAGACTGCCAGCATCAGAGAAGACACATAAGATGTTTTATACAGTATACTTTAAATAGACTCTGCTTGCTGAAAATACAAATTTTGAGCAAGACACTATTACCCTGAAGGTCTGTAGCTTCCACAGACACATAATCATTAACTGATTTGTTTTCTAACTGTCACTTTTGAAATAAAACTAGTAGAATAATCTGCGTAAGGGAAAACAAAAGTCTTGTAGTGTGTACAAAGTAGTGTAGGGCTACAGAGAGCCCCGGATAAAGGGAAATTTGCAGGAAGTGCCTCCATGAGGTAGAGAGCTAGAGCTCACGTGATATCTCTAAGAAGCCCCAGAAACAGAGGAATGGAAACAGCGAAGGATGTCAGAAAACAGGAGAGCTGGGGGAAAAAAAAAANAAAAAAAAAAAAAAAAAAAAAAAAGGCAAATTCCCATTGTTTTCCTGAGAAAGACCAGCAGAAGAACTAGAAACAGGAAAGCAGAAGGAACTGAGAAGGCATAAAAAGCCAGCAAAGAATGGAGAGGAAGAGCAGAAGAGAGCAAACGTGCTGTGAAAGCAGCAACTGAGGTTTATGCACGAGTGTGTTAGGGGAGTTGCACTGCATGTCACAGAGCAGAGCACAGCACTTCACATTTGGCTTTGATTGCCTGTGGAGTATTATGCCAAAGACCATCATAAATCACAGGGTATTCAAGAACAGTCTAGCGTTAGCTTAAGGAGCCCATTCTCCTTAGGCTATAGTTAGCCTCTGAATATTCTATAACATTAAATTCTCCAGCCACCACAGAATTTAATTTCCTCTAAGATAACAGAACATTTTTCTGTTCATTTTTCTACACATTTTTCTGTGTGCATGCAGAAGTAATAGCTGTTGGGTACTCTGGGTATAATAAACTCAATGTGCACATCACACAGACACCACAAGTGTTTTAATTACAACAGCTAATGGACCATTTTATTTCACACAGTTATGGATTCTGTAACTTACATGGGGGGCATGTGCTCCTGATATAAAGAGGTGGACTGGCTCTAGTCCGTATTTTTCTTTCAGGTGTAGTGCAACTGCAAAACTGATGTATGATCCAAAGCTGCAAGGAAAAGAGAAATTAAAGCAATGTAGTCACAAACACAGGCAAAACTGAATTTCAATGCTGGCTGGCCATCTTGAACATTTATTGAAGCTTACAGAGCTTTATAGTTCTGTATTACATGTAAATTATAGTGATATTAGCAAATTTACATGTAAAAGTRTGTTCATATTGGGACTAGATTTACGAATCTGACTTTCTCCTCCGTTTCTTTTCATGGTTTCTTACTGCTATTTTGAGTACATGGGATTGTATGATCTTCAAAATCTATTTGGTTTAAGGTTAGTTCACCAGCTGCATTCATTCSAGCGCAAGCACTGACACAAATATCAAGAATGAACAAAATAATAATTTATCAGTGTAAGCTAAAAATTGATTTCAACACTGCCATTTTTAGAAGACATTGGGCCTGAAGTAATAAGCAATCTCAGTCTCAGAGATCCACTTTGACTTGAAAAACCTTTGCAGAAGTGTATTTTTCTATAGTTTTTGCAAATAAAGACAAGCAATCATCTACTCTTAGAGTATAAAGTTTCCAGGCACCAGGGTACTTAGAAATACATATATTTTTACCTGTGACCAAAAAATGCAAATGGTTTTTCTTGCAGATCTTCTAACAAAACACTTGCAATTTCATTAACAACAGTCGTCATGTCTTTTGCAAAAGGCTCCTTAAAACGAGTTTCTCTTCCAGGAAGCCTTACAGAGTACACTGGAGAAGAGGTGGAAAAAGGGAAGGAAAAGAATTACTGACATTTTGGAGGAGAAACACTAAAATCACTTGAATTCAGTTACAGAAAATCTTTTAATTCTCTTCCACAGAATATACAGATTATTTAAATGAATCCTTTTTACAGCTGACATCATTGTGCTTTTGCTACTGCTATCTATTAATCCTGTGATTAAAGAGGGTTTAGGTTTCTGTCACTCCCTTTACTCACAAATGTTGCCTTCCCAATTGATCTTATGCTCCAAATGCTCTAAATCAGGAATTCTGTTTTATAATGATAACAAGGTCCTGGTCTCTGCTGAAGTTTCAGCTTTATTACTTTGATTTACTATTACTTAAAGCAGCTTTATTACTATTATTATTAATAATGCCATATCCATTGATTTCAATAACAATAAGTCTCAAAATTGTGTAAAGAATATCCTCTCAAGGCCAACATTAGAAAGTTAACAAAATACATTAGCATCCTACAGTCCCTGTTTTTCTCCTTGCAAGCTCTTCCAGCACTGTGCACAGTAAAACCATAGTATAAATTAATAGCATTTTATATTTACACAAAAGAAAACATTTCACCCTTATATTGCTTTCAACATTCTTTGGTTTTCTACCCTTTTTTAGAGAAAATAAGGAATGGGTTCAGCAGTAAAAATGTTAATTTTCCACAATATCCTTGACATTAGACATATCTGCCTATTGAGGCAATGGTTCAGACAGACAAAGTATTTTACTACAGTCAGAACAAGCCACTACATAATACCACAGACTGTCATACAAAAATGTTCATGTCTTTTATATGAGAGCAATTAAAATAATTTTGAAGGAACGTGCTGCTCCTTCGTTTGGTTCATCCAAGTTTGCAGTTGTTCCCAGGATGTGTCCTTAGTAACTTTTATTCCCCTCAGAACAGAAGACTTTTTGTTTTAATTTCAAGAAAAAAAGTGACTTGTGCAGCAGTCTAGARGAGGCATCACAACATTTAGGGGACTGGTACAATTGCAGTGTCAGTGTTTCCATTAATGCCAAATTATACTTTTTTCATTTGTGGAAAGTCTGGAAGATGCCCATGGTTCCTCTTAAAACAGTTCAGCAGTGGATCTTTTTAGTGCTGATAAAACCTGATAGCCATGAAAATTACTGTGTAACTAAATATAATTCACAGTTACAAAACCAGTGCTTAAACTTCAGTTTTGACACTTGTAGACACTCCGGATAACTGAAACACATTTCGCTGCAGCCTCTCAACAGTAAAAATCAGTTTTTATATCTTCATTGCTCACTTGTTGATTTAATACATCAACAATATGTCACGGCATGGCTGTTTCTTAATCATACCAACAGTTTCTGAAACAGTCAYGCATCCTACAGTCTTGTGAAATTTAGCTCTGGGGAGAGATAATTTAATCTAGTGACATATCAGTGGTTCCACAGCAGCACAGAAATGTAGTAAACTCAGCATCCTAACGTCATGACTATTTGGATAAAGCCTGTGGTAAATAAACAACTGGAAAAAAGTTTGCAGCACTCACTCTCAAGAACATTAAATTCTCTTAAAAAAAAAAAAAAAAGACAAGACGACCGAGCATTTCCAACTGCCCATCTCAATCACCTTGTGCCTTTATGGACCCCAATGACTGACCTTCTATGGAGCTGCTGAAGAGCCTGCCCCATTGAGCAAGCTGAGCCGCTCCACCTCCAGCCCAGGGAAAGCAAATGAGCCGGCAAAGCGCGTTGGGCCTCTTGTACAAACAGGCGACCACCTTCTCCATTCCTGAGGGAAACAAGAGGGCACCACGTTATGCTACAGCGAGACTCTTCAGGTTCTGAAAATTAGGGTGAATTAAACGTAATTTAGAACAATGGATTGCTATTTTATCAGAACTGCTTGTGCTGTGACAATGCAGCCTATTGTATGAGGTAAGCTTCACACAACTGTAAAAACCAGTTCTGCTTTTATAAGTGACAAGGAATAGTGTTAGGCAACACTTTTGGTTATTATTTTCTCCTCTTTCTGTCACTGGCCGTAAAGAACATAACAGGCAGCAAAGAAAATGAATATGAGATTTCACAATGACCTTTTAACAACACAGGCTTTTAGAACATATCCCAAAATATAAGGTTTATCTGAAGACCTGATGTAAGTACGGATCACCTAGTTTAGGATTCTCTCTACAACAGTGGTAAAAATGGATGTCTGCAGAACAGCTGGATGCCATTTCTTTACATTTAGGAACCACCATCAGTTTCTCATTCATGTATTCTTCTCATCTCCTCTTACATCCCTATAAACCTTTAGCATCCACAACATTCTTTGGCAACGAGTTGCACAGACTGACTCTCCTGCATCTCCCTTATTTGCTTTGAACCTGAATTCTAAAATTTCATTTGATGCCCACAGAGTTGCCTAGTAAAGGAAGTGGATGGTGAGTTCCTCAAGATTTGGAACTCAGCATTTTTGAGACTTCTTCCTATTCTCTCTGCCTCCAGTCAGCTCTTCCTTTCTGCAAGAAAAAGCCTAGGTTGCCTAGGGAGTCTTCATGGGGAAGTGCTTCCTACTCATGACCACAGTTGCTGCSCTTCTCTGGATTTCTTATATCCCCCTTGAGATGGCAAACAAAACACAACTGCATTCAGAGTATTTATCAGAGCAGCTTTAGGATTTTGAGTTACTGACTGACAGAAGTAACCCAAAAGAAGATTTATGACCACTCCTTCCTCCTTTCTGAGGAGGAAAAATTGCATTGAAGATCCTAATGCAGCAACTTTAGCATTGGATTTTGCATTTACTATAAGAAGCAAAGACCTGTTGTCAAGCATCTTTATTCTTCTTTCCTGATTTTTTTCTCCATTATTCTTGCTGATTAGATTTGTGGACATTAGCACTGAGGGTGACATCCTACTGTTTATAGTGTATCAGGCTGTGTTCTACATAGGTTTATATTAATTCCTGCCATTAATATTGAATCCATTAATTAATTAATTGCTTCCATTAATATTGAAAAAACCTAAGAATACCATGAATGACAGAAATACTTGGTAAAGATAAATGAACTAAAAACCAAAGTGATACAGAATACAAATTTTGTTTTCTACAGTCATTAGAATAAACTTGCAACAGTTGCTCACATTAAAAAGATGAAAAACTCAGGAGATGATGAGTAAAAAAAAAAAAAAATGCTGTTTTTAATTACTATGGATATTATTTGCTGCTGTGAATATAGCTCAGTAGAAGCAGGGGCTGATTCTACATGCAGTGTCTTGACAATTAAATATGAGAATGCAGCCAGATCAGAATAAGCAGCAATTTGTGCCCACATAAAATTCCTATAATGCAAGCAAGACAAGAGAAAAACTACCCAGAATCTTCTTGCTTTTCATGTGCTTTTAAACTGGAAATGTAATCCATGTTTGTTAAAAATCACTTCAAAGACACAAAAAGAGGAAGCCAAAAGCTCAATGGGCAGATGGAGTGGAACAAGCACTGCAGAACAAACAGCTCCCCAGACACGTTCACTTTGCATCCCTCCCACTAGACCCATTTACACAGGTGCTTCTTTCCCAAAAAGCCACTCTATCCCAGATGCTTCCAAGGCTGTTGGTTCAACCTCACAGACAAGTTAGAGTAAAAACCTGTTCTCAAACTGATTCCAAAAAAAAGATGGAAAACATTCAAGCCACAGTCCTTAAAGACATGTTACCAGCCGCTAAGGATCTTCCACAGTTTCTGCTCTTGCAGGTTTATGCCGTCACCACCACTTCTAAATTGGGCACAAAATACCTGAAAATAAAGGAAGACCACAGGCGACAGGAGATGAGATCCCAAGGTGGATTCCCTTTTCAGTGCTGCATAGCAAGAAGCAGGAGCCAGACTTCCCTCACAGCAGCCAGCAWGGAGCAAAGGCCGTCTCGGAGCAGAGGAGGGATGAGCATCCAGGTGGCCCAGCTGCTCCCTTTAAGTCATTCCAAGCCTAAGGGGAGGAGCCCATGCACAAGGGAAAAAAAGGCAGGGACTAAAGCGCACAACATCCAAAAGGGAGCCAGSGATGTGATGCTTACGTGAGACACAAAGAATGCAGCAGCAACACTGGGCAGGTGCTCAGCATCAGATCCAGCCAATCTGCAAAGGGCAGATTAATGTGTCAGATCTAGGGGCCAAAGACATTTTGATGCTGCAAGTCTATGAACTGATTGGGGAAAAAAAAAAAAAGCCTGCATAAATTTACCAAGAAAGGTCAGCTGTTCATAAGAGCTACATTCAGAACTGCAGCACTCATACCTTCATGGGGCTTGTATGGGTCTGAAAATGGGAAAAAGAATCATGTATAAGGGCACTAGTGACTGCATTTGTTCAGTTGGCTAGCTAGGATTTCTGCAAGCTGGCAGATGCAGTACAATACAGCGTGCTGACATCTGGTAATTTCTTACTTTCCAGTATGTTCTGCAGCTGATACTGTCAGCAACCCAACAAATACAGTATATCTTGTAACAGCAATTCTAGTAGTGGGAATATTGCCTTTTTTTCTTTTTTTTTTTTGGTTACTCTACCAAAATATCAGTAATGATGTTAATAAAGTAAGTGTAAGAATCCTCTAACGCAGTGGCCAAAACAGAGAAACCTGCGCACTGAGATGGGTTTTGACACTTAATTTCAGACACAGAGACCAAACTACTTTGTAGTTTTCCCTTTACTCATTTTTGTACATTTCTCTTTGCCATTCTGGGAAATTGAAAAATCTGCCTTGTCTCGAGCAAACGAAGTCTGTGGCTCACTCAGGAAGCCGTGCTGACTTTCCCAGAAGAGGTCTGCAGTCTTCTGTTCACTGCTCATTTAGTTTCTGCTTTCCAGGGGATCCCTGATTGAACAAGACAAAAAAAAAAATCTAATTTCAGTGATTCCCATAAAGTGCCTTATCACACCTGAACCGGCTGCCTCAGTCTCCCTGGTGAGAGGTGCAGGTAAGGCCAGGCCTCAGGGATGAATCCTGCTCACGAGTTCTGCACCTGAGAGTTTCAAATGACAAATGTAAAAATGCCAACAGTTTCCCAGACTTCTTTCATAGCACTTTTATGTTGTAATCATTATGAAATAAGAGGAGGCACACCTATGTTTRCAGTGCACAGTTTAAAGAAGCTTATATCGGCTAACTAGTCCTGACCTGTACTGTTATGCCCCATCCATACGAATATCCCTGTGCTCAGATGCGTTTGCTCATATCGTGTGACTTATTACAGAGAACCGAAAATGATTTATTTCTTCCCACCTAAAATTAGAAATTATGACACATAATGCAAATGTTATAACAGCCAGCTGTTATAAATATCAGACCCACTAACAGTGTTTCTAAAGATAAAATACTATCAGAAACAATTATTTTCTAACGAAGGCTGAAAATAAAATATTTTAAGATTCTGAAAGTGGAAGCTGAATCAGATAGYAAAATAATTCCTTAAAAATAATGAAGTTATAATACATATATATAAAACACAGATATAYACATCAAAGGACTAGAAATATATTGGTCTTCAAATGAAAATTAATATTTTCACAAAATTAAACACTTTCAGGAGACTGATGGATCTTGCCACACCCAACCACGTTTTTTTCCTTATTTTCAGGAGTCAGGTAAAAGAGAGCTTTACAGGACCAACTTTGCCAACTGAGTTATCAGTCCAGAAGTCCCTCATCCTTAAAGTTTTGCTTAAAGAAGATGTTGCTTCATGACAATTTTCAGTCTCTTTTAGACTTCAATGGCAATAAAAATGGAGCTAATGGTGAGTCAGAACGTGTCCTCATTCTCTAAAATCTGAAACGTCTTTACTCTCTGTTGATGGTTCATCACCTCAGAGTGATATAGAGGTCATATAAAGACTGTACTCTCCTCAGATCATAGCAATTGAAACGCATTAACTGCTAAATTGTAGAAGTTGATCASGGTTAAAAGTGGGTGAAAGTTAGGAAATGATCATTCTGTATGATCTTTCAGAAATGATAATGAAATAGTTCAAGAGTAGTTATTACCCTGGAAAAAAAACAGTACAATTCTTGTTCAAGGAGATCAATTTTACAGGGGCATTTGCAGTGCACTAAAAGGAATTAAGTGCCACTCATTTAGGGAACTAAAACAAGCACGTAAAGATCCCTCAGGTAAAGCACTAACAAAGCATGTGTTCTTGGCTGGACATGCATGATTTAAAGAACAAAGGGACACATGTTGCTTAACATTGGTTAGATTTTCATACTGCCGGTTGTGAAATACATTATAGGAACTGTATATACATTATAGGAACTGTATTTCATTTGCTTTATCCTTTGTCAATCTTCATTCTCCATCATCACTCATTATTTTAACAAGTCTGTATAATTTGAGCATCTTCTATTGCAACTACCCGCCAGTTCCTGGCAGAGGATACTGCTTCAAAGGATCAAAAAGTATATATTTAAATTTGCTCTTTTAGAAGCTGTGAGYTAATACCACATGAGCAGCTGTTAATGGTGCATGAAGAGACAGGCAGTTATGCAGTTTCACTTCCATCCGAAGGAGAGCAGCAGCAAGTCTTCTCTGTAAAACACAGATAGAGACAGCCTTAAATGAATCAAAATGTCACACATCACAACAGTTATATCACACATATCAAATTATGGCCATGCTGATGCCTTTTAGCACCATGGGGTGCTTCTATAGTGGGAGTCTGCACCAGTGTGAGAAAAGCCAGAGAACTGCAATGCTTCAAGATGTGATATGATAACAGGGAACCAATTAAGTTTAACAAATACACTTTCTTATTACTGTACTTTATATATTGCATTTAATATATAGTACATGTCCACCTTTGATAAAAGAAAATGAAATTGATTTTTTTTTATTATCCCTGGAGGAGACGAATGTGCAGTGACACGGCACCGTTCGGAGGTGCTTCACTGGAGCAACCAAAAATGCTTCTGAGAAAGGATGAAACCTCCTGGGTCCAGATGTCCCCCTCTCCCCGCTCTCTGCTCAGCTGTGCTCACAGAGCAGTAACACGGCAGGATCCCGGGCCCTAGGGGAGGTGAAAACAGGTCTGAGCTCCAAAAGCCAACCTCTATGAGCACAGAAATGAGAACAAGGAGCTTTCAAGCAAAGCAGTAAGGCTGTCCCGATCTCCTGGCCCACGTTGCACTCGTGAAACTTCCACCCAAAGGTGCCCGGSTGCTCCCACCCAGGGTCCTTTCTCACCTTGCTCCAGGGAAGCTCATCCGATCTGGATGCAGGAGCCTTAGCAGCATGACTGGCCAGCCAAACCCTCCCCAAGACACAGGGCAAGGTAGACTGTATAGCAAACTACGGCCCAGAAAACAATGTCCTATTGTTTCAGAAACATTGCAAAGCTTAAAAAAACGATTTTGATCTCGAACTCTGGAGGCTCATGAAGAGGTTTGGGATAAAGCTCACTCTGCAGAAGTGCTTCTGATGGCAAAGACAGCAGAAATGTTCAAGGAAGGGATCCAAATGTCAGTACCTGTTACAGTACAAAGCAAGAAGCAAAACAGACTGCAACACTTTCAAGTAGCAATAACAGAYGAGGTAAAAGTTATCAGATGCTGTATAATAAGCTAGCGCAATAAATGAGGCTATAAATATAAATAAATATCAATAAGGTTCCTACTGTGTAAGAAAATGAATTAATTGGTCCTTAAGAACTTTACCTCTTCACGTAAAAGAAAATCATAGGCTTGTTTGCAGTCCAGCTAACACCAAAAATATCTCAGCACGAAAGAGGCAAATTAGAGAATATGAGGATATATTTCAAGAAGCAGACACCAATCTGAAATCAAAAATAAACATACCCTTTGAATCTCCTTTAGCTATAGCCTGTCTTTGTGAAAGAATCTTTGTCAAATCTCTTAGCAGTTATCACTGAATTTGAATCACAAGGATATCAGTTTGGGTGTTGAGATGTTCTCAGTAAGCTGAATCATACTTCACTAAGATTTCGAGGCTTAACATTGAAGCTAACAGCAGCAGAAGGAGATTGCAAGATAAAGGTAATCCCTAACCATGGATACMTCAATCCAGGAACCCAAGAAAAGGTCAACAACGAAACATGAGGGTGGTAAAGATGCAGTGACCTGCATCAGGCATCTGTTGAGCTCCGAGTGATGACAGCTGGACCCTGAAACCCAGAGGACAACTGCAGAAATGCCCAGACCAGAGCATAGGAATGGAGCACAGGGAATACTAGAGATACCAAAGAGAGAGAAGGCAAACTTGATCCGTACGCATAACAAAATAAGCAAGGCACCAGGTTTAAAGTACAATAAACATATGAAGCAACTAAAGTTAAAAGCAGGGGCTTGCAAAAGATGCCCAGGAGTAGCATCATACAAAGCTTCTGATAAAATAGCCCTTGCAGACATCAAAAGGGGAGCTCAGAGAGAAAATAAAGTGCCTGTGCTACCCAGGAGGTAGTAATTCCATCAGTACATGCAGTGTAAACACAAGATGATGACGAGTCATTAGGAAACAACAAGAGGGAACTTCTGCCAAACGCTCTCAGGCATGTTACTAACATGGAAGTGTTTCTGCAGGAGGTAGGAATTTTGCTTTCTGCTWAGGGGAATAGGTGAAGCAAAGAATGGATCAACTAACCAGGAACAGGGGCCCATCTTAGAGCACAGATGGAACAAGGTCATCAGAGAGCATTAACTGCCAACAAAAATGAGACTCCTGAGCCTGGAAAATCAGTCACTAGCTAAATTTTCACCTCGTATAGAGCAGCCACCCTTATCAGAGCATGTTACAACTGCAGCCTGGAGAAGCTGGAGGATCCGGAGGGCCTGAGCTCRAGCACGAACGCTGCAGGGCCACCACCCACCAGCCA